ACAGCACATGCCTTGGACAGCGCAGTAGTAATTTCTGGAAATAGTCACTTACAATGGAGTGGCCGGGGAAGGAAAGACCACAATGATAGTTTCTGAAAGGTACAGCAGAATGATTCAGATAATTAATGTTTGAGGATCTCATGCAATAGAGAAGCTGCAATAACTTCTGGTTAGTGGTTAACTGTAGCTACGAATTGTTCATTCTGAAATGCATGCCATGGAGGCTAGGCTAAGACCTCTTAGCGATGCAGTATTGGGAGCCTGTTGTGCGGAAGGGAGGGGAGGGGGGCGGGGGAGGGGAAAGGAGGAAAGAATTCCTTTCAAGGAGTCTGTGGGGACAAGGGCACCTGAGATATCTTCTCCCACAAGGTGGCTAAGGAGACATGGGGGTGGGGTCCCTAGATAATGAACAGGCAAACCCATGAAAGCCTTGACAGTTAGGAGAAACCCCCGGGGACTCAGCCTTCCCCCCAAGAGCTTGCAGCCACTTTCTTGACACTTGGCTCTGAAAACTGCAGAAACTGCGAGGAACCGACACGTCTGGGCCACGGTGGGCTTCCCCCCGTCTCTCTGCCGGCACGAAGGACAGGGCTCCTCCCTCAGGGCTGCAGGTCCAGACTCCAGACTCCGGGACCCAGCCTGGTCCCAGCACCGCAGGTGGGGCCTGCTGACTCCCAGCACTGCACGCGGGGCCTGCTGACTGACAGTCCCAGCACTGCACGCGGGGCCAGCTGACTGACAGTCCCAGACCCAGACCGACCTGCTGACCTGCCGCCGACATGGAGACAGGGAGGTGGAGGGGTGTATCCATCTGCAGGAGCCGCCCGGGACCAGGCTTCCTAGTACTGAGGCCTCTGAACCTCTCGTGGGCTCTGGCTGTCATGCTGCTGGTAGTAGTTCTGTTCAGTATTTCCCCCTAAACCACCTGCAGCTATTGTGTAAGAGGCAACTTTAAACAAATAACACGGCCATGTCAGCAGAAACCCAGGTGGATGCAGGAACCAGAGGTCCGGGCAGGTCCTGAAGGGACAGGAAAGGTCCCGCATCCCGGGCCATGTGCGGCCGGGCCGTCCCCCTGAGCCGGGACCCCCAGAACTGACCTCTAATTGGGGTGGGGCCCTGGGCCCGAGACGTGTGGAGAGTAAGTGGACAACTCAGCCTCAGTCCCCTTTTCTTCCCCTCCTGACCCCACACCCACCTGGGCCCACAGGCTGTCCAGAGGCTCTGCTCATGACGTCCATCAACTCAGAAGACATGAGGACTGTGAGCTCGTCATTTACGAATCAGTGAAATGACAATTGGGTGGTAACATAAATAATGACTTTTTCTAAAAATATGTCTTTTCAGAAGTATTTAGCGAGAAGGGTGGCACTGGGACACAGGAGTCTCTGCTGCTTCTGGATTCAATTTGCTGCGAGAGTGAATGTCACGTCACCTCGTGGCAGAAGAGAGAGAGAGAGACAGAGCATCTAGTGCCACTATGAAGACAGCGGTGACCTGTGGATTCCCCGAAAAGGTCTTGGGGACACTGGGTCCCCTGCTCCACGAGGGAGCGCAGCCCCTGCAGGTGTGAAAGGAGCCACCCACCGAGGGCTCAGGGGAGACCGGGGGGCAGGCGTAGACTGAGCTCACTCTGGAAACATAACTAGAACTTTGTCCTTCGTCTCAGAGAAGGGGACCATTTCCATAGCCGAGTTATGGTGAGAGCTCAGCGTGATGGGCAGCCCCAGCCGCACATGACGGGGCACGTGACCCAGAATAGAACCCGGGACAAGCAAGGAGGAGCGATCTTGAACATGGAGAACGTGGCTGCCTGAGGATGGAGACGGGCACAGGTGAGCAGAGCGTAGAAGGGGAGCCCGGGGCGGAGCAGGGGTCTGAGAAGCGGGGCTGGCACCCCGGCCCTTAGTCAATACTCTGAAACCTGCGGCCGAACAGGAGTGAGTCCCGTTAACCTCAGACGGAGTGAAGCAGAAAACGCCACGTCCACGCAGCTCCCTTCTGGCCACAGGCATGCAAACCTGTCTAGTTCTGGCCACTTCGTTTAGGACAGGAAGGGAGACTGGCCCACCGCCCCGGGAAGTCCCCTGACGGACGGGCCTGTGCTTCCTGCACGCCGGCCCCGGACCGCAAGGGTCTGGCCAGAGGCGCGTCCTTCCCAAGACCACGTTCTCCACTCTGAGTCCATCCTTGAGATGAAGGTGAAACCCCGCGTGGTCCTCCCGGCCCCCACATGAGGCAGGACACCCACCAGGTCGCCGAGGGATGCGGCTCGGTCCAGGTGCCCTGGTCACCAGGCATACGCGTCCTTCTTGGCCGTCTGGGGTGGCGCCTGGATCTGCCTGTTTACAGAGCACCAGGGGCCTGTGATGCCCGCAATGATGGAGGCCCAGTGGGCAGAGATGGGCAGTGGAGGAGGTGCCCACGTGCGGGGGGGAGGTGCCCGTGCTGGAGGGGAGTGTGCGGGGCCCTGGTGGAGGGCAGACCTGGTACGGCTGCTTGTGCTCACAGTGCCCAGCAGCCGACCGCCCTGAGGAGCTGACTCCTGAGAAGGGGTGCCTGGGTAGTCAGGGGTGAGCACACACTCAGGGGCCCCCACTCTCATCCACTTCCGGGGCCTGGGAGAGGCCAGGGGGTGCCCCTGCCTTGGGAAGAGTGGGTGGTGGCAGGGCAGGGGGTGCCAGGGTCTGACGAGGAAACGGCGTGGTCTGGACGCCCACGCTGTCACCTGCCCACCCAGCGCCGTGCATCCACCACAGGGAGCTGCACCCACAGGGGGGCTGAGCGGATTCAGGACCTCGTGGGTGACAACAGCTGATGGGCCTGCCGAGACCTCAGGGGCCCTGGGGCCTGGATGCAGGCTGCTCAGCTCT